AAGAGCGTCATCTGAAGGTCAATTAGCATGTTCTATGTAGAAGTGAACAGAAGTGAAAGTCTCTTTAATTATCTTTGCACAGGCAGCATTAGATGGTTTTGAGACTTGGGCACAACACTTGTGGTTTTATTTGACTTCACTGCCAATGTCTTGTCCTCACGTAGTGATCCATACATTTAGATATACAATGAAAGTCTTATATGGTGAGAAAAGCATTTTCATGCTATACCAGTAAGCAATTTTGTACTACTATGAGCCCAGCCTGCAATAAGACCCACAGTACAAGAGTGGAAAAACTGACAGAACATCATGATGTGTCTGAGCACAGTTTTGAATCTTTCCAGTCAGTTTACAACTTGACAGAGATGTGCATAAACTGGAATGAATGCTTTTCGTTTGTTCATATCGCTGTCATTGTCACTACCTTTGCTCATTTGTTAATGAAGCCAAGCCCGACAAGCATGTCTGACTCTGTGAGGATGTGGATTTAGTGCTTTTGTAAACAGTGGAAAAGGCAGAAAAGGAGAGCACCTGTGCTATTTGTCATTGAACCTCCGTCTGACTTCCAGGTCCAATCGCTCCATTGTTGAAGACATACGACAAGGAGAAGGGAAGATTTATGGAGCAGAGCTGCTCAAAGACCTGCTGAAGCTCCTTCCTGACACAGAGGAGGTCTGTGGTTGTGTATTCGTGTTTGTGCATGTCTGTGTGGCTTTAACAAATTATGAGTAGCATAAAGTTTTTGAATGAAGACCAGAACCAATGGCAGAAGACAGTTTATATAGACTTGTAGACAGGAATCCTGCTGAGCGTCCCCTTTTTCTTTGTCTTCACAGATCAAGAAGCTACAGATGTTTAAAGGAGATCCAGACAAGCTGACACTGGTTGATTCCTTTATGTACCTCTTGATCCAGGTGCCACGGTAAGTTGAATGGTGGATACATAGTGTTGTTTCTATCAGAGGCACATGTTTGACAGTGAATGAAAGGTGAAGGGTTTGCACTGTTCCGTTTTGTGTACATTTGTGAAGATAGATTTGCATTTTGTGATGTTTCCAATAAGCTTGTACTGCTCTTCTTTACATGTTCATGAAAAAGTGTTGTATCCTATATGTACTTATTTTTGCATCTCACAGATTTGCCTTCTCTTGCTCTGTGTCTGACAGGTTCGAGGTTCGAATCGAGGCTATGGTCCTCCGTGAAGAGTTCTTCCCTTCCTGTGCTGTGATGAGCCATGAGATCGATGTTGTCCGTGTCGCCACTAAAGGTAACAACACGAGCTCTGCTGCCTCCACACACACACACACACACACACACACACATTCACATGTGCTCAGACAGTTGACCCAGATATTTGAGCTGTCAGTGGTGGTGACTAAAAAGTAGGAATGTGTCACCTGAGATACAGTGATGTGTGGACAAAGCTGTGTCATCTTACTGCTGATTTAGAGACTGTAGTATTGTAATGTCCGTCCATCCATCCATTATCTATACCGCGTATTCCTGAATAAGGTTGTGGGGGGCTGGAGCCAATTCCAGCTGACATCGAGTGGGGGGATCCACCCTGGACAGGTCACCAGTCTGTCACGGCTGACATGTAGACAAACAACCACACACACACACACACACACACACTCCTACAGGCAATTTAGAGTCACCAGTCAGCCTAGGCTGCATGTCTGGGAGGAAGACAGAGTACCTGGAAAGAACCCACGCAGGCACAGGGAGAACATGCTCGGAGACACACGAGTCGGCCAGGTCTCGAACCCAGAACCTTCTTGTGTTGCAATGTTTTATATGCAAATTATGCATTATGTGAGTTATGTAATTTACTATCGTCAGTTTTGTTTAACTTCAGTAGTCGCTGTGTGTTAGCTCAGCAGCCCAATGTCGTCTTTATCAGTCTAGCTGAGTTGGTGCCGCAGAATAACAAAGACAAACCTTGGTAGTTTTAGTGGTATCATGTAAAAAAGACATTAAACATGATCTAACAAGATGCTGGTGGCTCAGTAAGGCTGTTTTTGGACACAACTATGTTTGGAGCTAAATGCTGACATGCCATGGTTATAGTAAAAATGCTAATGTTTAGCAGGTGTGATGTTTACCCCATCCTTCATTTAATTTAGCTTGGTAGTTTAGCTAACATGATTAGCACTAAGCACAAAGAAACGTGAGGCTGATGTGGAGGTTCTCAAATCCACGGTTTGGTTCAGACCTTGAACTTTGGAACACTAAAGAGAAACTGTGTGCTTTTGCAAAAATCATGTAGTAAACATACCTGCAGTGGATGGTGCAAAGCTGAAGTGATCGCTTCTCTACAAGTTTATGTTCATTTAGTGGGTGTTTTGATAAAAGGCTCTTACTGGCTTTTTACTTTTTACCCTAGGTTCTATTGCACATACAGAACTGAGCGTTAGTTTCACTCCAGCCTTTCGCCTCTCCAGTGTCTCAGCTGCTGCCTGCTGTGTGTGTGTGGAGGAGCTGAGGACAGAATCGCTAGCTAATATTTACAAAATACGCAGCTTGTTCTGACTTTGATTTATAACAGTCTAACTACAGATAATACCATCAGCTTAGAGGAGTAACAGTTCCTAAACCGAAACTGCAAACCAAACATCTGGGACACATCCCATAAAGTTATTATATATTTAAAGTATTCGACCTATTAGATGAAAAGTCTGAGGCTAATTTATCCTGATGGGGACAAATATGTTTGTACCAAATTTCATAGTATGTCACGTTTGGCGTATACAGATGCCAAACAGAGGATGTGGTGAACTCAATTAAATAACCAGACGAACTGAGGTAACGAAAAGTTCTTTACTGGTAAACAAAACTAACAAGAAGTCCAGGATATCACTTAGGTCGATAAGACAGTCCAGGGTCGGCGCCGGTTAACAGGTATATCCAGGGGATCCAAACTCGAGGTCAATGGGAACAAAAGCAGAAGGTCGGTACACAGCAGGCGATCAGAACCTGAGAGGGCATAGACAAAACACGGTGGTCAAGAAACGGTAATCCTAGGTCAAACACAGAGAGTCAGGCAAGGAATAAATGCTGGAGAGTCAGAGCTGGGGTCTAGAACAATCTGGCAGCGTCCTGGTGGGAGGACGCTGCCTAAATAGAAGGGAAAAACAGGTGCAAACAATAAGGAGCAGGTGAACTAATGATGATTAAATAAAAGGGCCAAAAGTGAGGTGAAACAAAACAGGAAGTGATGAGAAAATAAAAGCCTGACAGGAAGCAAGAGGGGCAGGAGCGTGACATAGTACAGATGATAGTTTTTAGGATATTTCAGTGCGGACCAAAATGGTGGACTTACTGACCGACACTGCCTTCCCTAGAGTTATGCATGGCCAAAAAATGTCCTGTGCAACTGAAGTTGTAATTTACAGTAAAATAACACATGCAGAGAACATATCATAGCATATCCGCACTCTCAGACAGTCTGGGGATTACAAACTGTGATCAGAGCTACCAGCTAAGCATTGCATGGGACAAATTAGTTAGAACATTTACGATGCCTTTTTATTAAAACCATCTGCAGCATTTAACTTTTATCCTTACTGTTAGCACTAGATGGTCAAAGTACAGAAAGAAATCCATTTGACTTCTAATGATTTTGATCTGCTCTGAATTGTCTGGTTGACTTCCTATTGATCTCTTCCTGTAGAGCTGATGAGTTGTGAGGAGCTTCATGCCATTCTCCATCTGGTGCTACAGGCTGGAAACATCATGAACGCTGTATGTCTACCAGTCATCTTCACTATACTATACTATACTATACTATACTCAGTATTCTCTGATTTAAAGGATTCAGCATCATTATACTGTAGGTTTCTCACAAAATCTCATGAAGGATGAAAAACGTCATGGCCGTTTTCTCAGTACCAGTTCTGACTTATCTGCTCCTGTATGTGGCCATTTGTTCCTACTTATCTTTTACCATTTTCCTGTTATGTTTCAGTGAGTTCTGTCATTTGTCCCTTTGTCATCTCCAGGGCGGCTATGCGGGAAACGCTGTGGGATTCAAGCTGTCCTCCCTCCTCTCACTGGCTGACACCAAGGCCAATAAGCCAGGAATGAACCTGCTGCACTTTGTTGCCATGGTTAGTATAAGATGCAACAGTTTTTGATGACATTGATTTCTTTGAGTAACACTTTCATGTTTGCTGAATTCTACAATTAAACTTGACAAAACTCCCATATGTGAAAATGACATTTAAAAAAGGTACATCATGGAACAACAGCCACAGAGAATTGGTTTGATATAAATATTTCACAGCAGCGGTGCTTGAGTAAACAGATGGTGACAAGAAACAGAAAGGTGCCAAAGAGTGGCTGTCCAAGCACTTATTTAACCAAACGAGAGCGGTCCCCTCACACAGCAATCATGCCACTTTACCTTATACGATACCAAACACTTGGATGTAAATTATATAATGTGTGTGTCCACACAGGAGGCAAAAAAGAAAGACGAGAAGCTGCTCAAGTTTCCAGAGAAACTCCAGGATGTTCAGAGTGCAGCCAGGTAAACAAAGCCAAGATGTAACCATACCAGTTTTTCCTCAAAAACAAAATGCACCCTCTTTAACAGTGCATGCCATCATTTGTCAGTGCACTTGTATCCTGACTGTAAAGTTGAGAATGATGTAGCAGATTGGAAGGAATCTTATTGTTTACCCAAGAAGCACAGTGGACATGTGTTCCACCAGTTTGTTCAGTTTGGTTGCTTTCCAGAGCTTTGCCACTGAAAACCAGTGATGTATAGCAAAACCTGTGATTGGCTGGCAGAGCTACTGGTGCTGCATTCATCTCATTACAAATCTGGCAAAGCAGCGAGTAGTATTGTGCAGCTTCCTGCTTTAACAGCACTACAGTAACACCAGTAACTCCAAAATTCACTTAGACATATTTAGTTTCCTGTAATACCTTGTTTGTTTTATGCCTCTGACAAACTAGTAAGAAAATACATTTTAGAGTGTGTAGTTTAATGTTTTATTTCTGCATGAAAACTGAGGTATTAACATTGTTCATTACTGTTGAATCAAGTCCAGCGTCATTGTTTAAGCTGGCGTCTAACTTAAGTACTTTCAGAGTCACGTTGAAAATACAGTGCAAGTCTGGAGGATGTCCGACCACGTCAGCTTCACAAGGTCACCTCTGTGTGTCGTCAGTGCAGCTGCTGCACCACAGATCTGTGAAACAGACTCGCTCCTGCACCCTCCCTCATTTCTCACACCAGCCCAAAGTGCATTCAGCAAACTGTTGTCAGACATTGTCATACTAAGTGTTGGTATAAGAACAGGCTTCAGTCAGCAGTGTGATTATTATGTAACCAAAACTGTTTCTGAGCACATTTTCCTGAGCTGAATATTTCTTTTTGTAGAATCTCAGTGGAAAATATTGAGGTGGAGTTTTCCTCCTTATATGTTCGGAGTAAATCCCTGGAGGAAAAGGTTCAAGGAGACGAGGAGCTGCAGCAGCAGCTGGAGCCCCTTCTGCAGGTGAAGCAGCGGGCGTTCTACACACACACAGAAAGTTGGGTTGAGGCCACTGTACATTTCTGGTTCTGCTGCTGACTCAAGTGCTACAGATAATGACATTTCTAAAAGTGTATAACATAAAAAATGCGTCTGTGTTTGATGACCTGTCTCAGAGTTCAGCACAGACGCTTCAGGACCTGAAGAGACGCAGGCTGGATCTGCGTAAAGAGGGAAATGCTCTCATCGATTTCTTTTGTGAAGACAAGGATACGTTCAAACTGGATGAGTGCTTCCGCATCTTTCAAGACTTCTGCATCAAGTTTGAGAAAGCTGTAAAGGTTTGTTTGATTTAAAGGATCATTTAGGTTTATTAGAACTTCTTATAGCTTTTGCTCTAATTCAGAGCAGCAATAAAAATTAATTTTGCTCAGTGAAAAGTTTTGATTTACAGCGTATTCTTCTGATGTTATGATGATTATAATGTTACATGCCTCTTTTTTTTTTTTTACCCAATCACGTTGTAAATACAAAACATTCACCACTGTTAGATCATTTCACTAATCATGAGGAACTAGATACACCTTCACATTAAGTTGTTTCTTTGGTGGATATGTATCTGATAGAAATGAAAACTCCTGAAATTAAAACCCATGGTGAAAAAATATTAAGGTCAGTGAATATAAAGGTAAAAAAAATTATTTTCCTCTAGTCTGGTTTAACATGCCACCATTTATTTGTGTGCTTGTTTGCTTGCCTCTCTGAATTCCTCCACCTTCTTCCTTCCCTAAGGACAACACGGACCGTGAGCTGAAGGAAGCGGCCAGACAGCGTCGTCTGAGGGAGCTGGAGGAAAAGCGCTTTGCGTGGTCGGGTGCAGATCAGAGCGGGGGATTCGGTCGCAGCAGCAGCGAGAGCGACGTGGAAATGCTCACCAAGGAAAGCCTCCTGGACTTGTTCCAGCAGAGGTCTCAGAGTCCACACAGCCCGCTGGGACGTTCTGCCAGTGCCCGACGCTACCGCCACACCATGACCTCCATAGCAGACCGAGAACTCCAGGGGTATCTTGAGCTGTTTGGAGGCACCGGGAATCCCACTGACTATTCCAAGTTTAACACCCTACCTCGGTCGGGCCGCATCATGCAGCGGAGGACAATCCCATGGATTTTAGCCCAGGATGATAATCGTGAGCTGGGCTGTGACAGGCAGGTGACATCTCCACGTGCAGAAACTGAACCTGTCAGCCTACTGGCCAGGTTTTCCTCCTCTACACTAAATGATAATGAGGTCCCACACAACAACAATAGTCATTATATATCTGTATCAGAGGGCAACGCTCTGCCTCGGCCCTTATGTGTCTTTCAGAATCCCACTCATCTTCCCAACCCAGCAATTACTGGCCACATGAATGTTAGTGTGGAGAAGCATACTTTAGTTCAGGGCCCTCAAGCTTTTAACCTGCCTAGTCCAAACAATAATGGTAATCAAGTCCACTTCGTCAACCAGGGCAATGTCGTGGTGGTGGATTTGGAAAAGGAGAGACGGCCTCTTCCTCCCAAGAACTTGGACAACTTTCTACATGATCAAATTTTAGAAAGCGGGATGGATCCTAAGGCAGCGTGGGAAGGGAAAATAGACCCTCCCACATCAGCTGGGTTCTCTCCTGAGAGAGAGAAAGACGAAGAGGACAACAGTACAATTTCATCTACAACCTGTGATACACCCCTCCCATTAGACACCTCTGTATCCAGTAAGAAGCCAGTGTTTTACATACTAGACTGCACAGAAACCGACTGCTCCGTTGCCTTGGATTACTCAGAAGCTGAAAGCTCGTCTCTCACGAAAGAGAGACTTCATTTCAGAGCGACTGACTGCAGCAAAGGTCAGGAGAGCCAGCAAGATCCAAGCCCTCTGTCTTCTAATTTGGAGTCGATGTCGCCTAATAACCAGTCTGTTTCAACCAATGAGCTTTCAGCACCAAAAACGGTGGATGCAGCATCCATGACTCCTGCGACCAGGGAAGAATGGGACACAGAGAACTGTGACACCGCTGAGGGGGAACAGATGGCTGAGAAAAATGCACAGAGAAGCAGCAAAAAATCCGTGCATGCAAAGAGTAAAGCTAAGTGCAGCGGAGGTCGTGGTGTGCGGACTCTGACCAGCAGCGAGAACCAGACCATGCGGAAAGTTGTGCCTATTGGCAAGTTAACGAGGACAGGTAGCAGCAAGAGAGCAGAGAGGCCTTTGGTGCATGAGAGCGGAGACTTACGCCGGCCTCTTCGAGACCAGAGCACCCCAGCACGAGGAAGGAGCGAGAAGACAACAAGAGCCCCTCGACACTCCAGCCTGCCTCCTGATGAGTCGAAAGCTCAGAGGGGAAGCGGCCTAACAGGAAGCTTTTCAAGAATGGCACGCGATTCAACCCCGAGGAAGGCTTCCATCCACAAGCCGAACGCCAAACCCCTGAGGAACATCCCCAGACCCGCACCTGAGGAGAAAATGTGCCGCTCCACCATGAGAGCACTGGCCCAGGCACAAGCTCAGGCCCAGGGTGGAGCTTCCTCTGAGAACAGCAGCTCACACACGCTCAGTGCAAAAAACGCCTCTGATGTCCCCAGCTTTGCCCGTAACACTGTAGCTTCGTCTTCCAGGACCAAGAAAGAGTTGCGCCCCCTGTCTGTCCCCTCCACCCCGTCTCGCAGCCCTTCACTCCTGGGTCGACAAACCTCTGCCAAGCAGAGCAGGTTGTCACCCACGGTTCACACCAGCGAGGAGCAGCCACAAGGATCGAACATGCGACGAGTGCAAAGCGTGAGGGCTACAAGTCGAAGTGCCTGCCGCAGTGAGACTCCCCCTCCAACACGTGAGGATGTTCGTAAGACTAGTAGCTTTTCTGAAAAGTCGTCAGCAACACCCAGCAGAAGTGCTAAACCAAGCTGGAAATAAAGGAAATGGACAGCAGAAAGTAGAGATGAGTAGAGACATTCGCTCTCCTTCCCCATCTACCGTGCAGATTCCTCTTCATATGATGCAACAGGCAGGACTTAAAAACCTTGTAATGTTCCTCCAGTGGCTCTGTATCAGGTTTTGAACTGCAAAGAGCAAGATACAATGAACTTTTCCACAGGGGGGGGGTCACTAACTAAACTGACAAAATGGCAAATTAGTGTTTTTGCACAGGAACCTCTTTGCCTGCTTAGCTGTCTGTTCACTGTCTATGCTAGTGTCTGTGATGATGTTCAAGTTGGGCACTATTCACTGTATAATGCTGCTAATTAGCTCTAACAAACAGTGTCTGCTTCATTCAGGGTTACAAGATTTGTTGTACCTTCCCTTGCTGCTGCTATGACTCTGTTTTGTTGCCTCCTCCTTGGAGTTCAGCTCTGTTTGTATTTCAGTTCCTTTGCGTCATACAGTACCTCAGACAGAATGCGGTGGCCTTGTACCAGCAGAAGTAGAATATGTCAGTTTTGCTCTGCATGACAACAGTGTAGACAAAATCTGATCATTTGGTTTAAAATAACTGTAATGTCACGTTTTACAAATCGCTGGTATATTAATATTACTACAACATGCATAATGTCGCAGATTATATGCCCACGGTGTATAATAACTGTGGTACATCTCGTACCTTATGTATTTATGTGTCAGTAGTTTGGAAATGTGTTAGAATTCCTCCATAATATTATGGAGCAGACGTACACGTCGGAAATGTTTCCTATCTGCTGTAGACTAGTACATGATCAACGCTAATGCTTTGAGAGAAAAGCATTCAACATGTCTGAAACAATGAATTCATGTCGTACCATTTTTCTACTGTGAATTTAGTCTAATAGGATTTTCTCCAGACGGGACAAGGTTAAACTGTAAGAGTAGCACTAAACCCGCCATAAATCAGCCCAGGCCCAGCGTGTGCCTCTCGTGTATTACCTTTACATCACATCACAGAGCTGGTCAGCCGGTTTCTGACAAATAAATACCTGGTAATCTCTGATAAACCCTAAAGGTATTTGCAGAATGTGGTGGAAAACACATGTTCTTGTCACAAAAACAATATAAGCATGTTATATTGTATGAAAATATAAAAGAGAGCAATGTTACATCAATATGGACATATCTGCATCTGTGTTTTTAATGCAATAAATTCAGTCCATTTGCAAATCAATTTTAAACCAAATTTTCCAAGTTACACCAGAGTTTCCTAATCCAAGGATATTTGTTTCCTCTCTCTCTTTTTTTTGTCCAGGAGGTTAGAGGTGTCTTTGAGGACACACAAAGGCAAGTGCTGTTAAACGTTGCCAGGTATTTAATTCTCAGATAAACTGATGCTTAGCGATGCCTGTTGAGAGGGTTCAAATTCAGACCTGGTGACCATTTCACGCCACCTGCCTTTCAAATAGCGCTGTGCCACTGCCTTAATGACAGCCACGCTCACAACAGTGTGTCGTCTTAAAGCTCGATGAAGCCGATTCATCACCGGTAGAAACGCCTTGATTGTAGAAGTAGAGAAGAGTAGAAATGTTTCCTACATTCCATCACACCAAACTGAAACAGTGACTTCACTGGTTAGTGATTCACTGTGAAACTTCTAAAGACACAGTATTTTTCTGACTGTCACATGTTTGCACAGCATCAGAAATGAAGGGTAAAACAGTGATGTAAGCTATGAGAGAGCATGGATGGTGGAAACATCCATATCCCTCCCTCAGACGTTAGAGGTCCCTGACGTGCAGTGTGTTGCTGTGGGTATCGTCCTGTTCCCTGTAATGCAAATGAAGTTGATGAAGCAATGACACAAAAGGTCCAGCGTGACGTGTCGCTGTGTGTGGCCTGTGTGTAGCCTAAATGTACAAGTAGGATCATTTTCATTGTCATTTGTCTATTAAAGCCCCTGAAAACTGGTTTTATATCTGAGGTGTTTCTCCAGAACATTAGATATTCGTGGTTAAATAAGCAATAATTAAAGTTAAGAGTCAGAAAAAAAAACCAGCATTAGCTATTATTAAATAGGACTAACCCTAAACACCCTGTTTTCTTCATCAGGCCTGTGTGGAGGTGGTGCTAGCACCACAAACAAGCAACTCACCTACGTTTGGGAAACTGGAGATTTTGGCATGTTTGCCTACAAATGACTAGATTATTAAAACTGTAGCCGCTTCTTTTTCTAGCGATCAGCTCATTGTCTGATCATTTCATCTCTAAACACTGGAAATTAGTAATGAATACCTGTTTGGGAGTGCTACAGCTGATTAGCTTCACTGTTGTTCAACCCAGAATACAAATACAGGTGCATCTCAATAAATTAGAATATTGTGGAAAAGTTCGTTTATTTCAGTAATTCAACTCAAATAGTGAAACTCGTGTATCATATAAATTCAGTACACACAGACTGAAGTAGTTTAAGCCGTTGGGCCTTTAAATTGTGATGATTTTGCTCACCTTTAACAAAAACCCACCAATTCACTATCTCAATAAATTAGAATACATCATAAGACCTATAAAAAAACATTTTTAGTGAATTGCTGGCCTTCTAGAAAGCATGTTCATTTACTGTATATGTACTCAATACTTGGTAGG